GCTCGTCCCGCAGCCATACGGGCCAGCAGCACGCGCTGCTCGATGGCCATCGATTCCAAGCGCTGTTCATTGCTCAATACGAAGGGCTGGGAGCTGGGAATTCGGCCGGGAGAGGTGGAATGGGGAAACATGTCGACAACGAGCTGTGGGGCGGTCGCGGCTTCCGCGTGCCATTTCAGGACGCGTTGGCGCAAGTAGGGGAGTTGTGGGTCACGAGGTGGGTACCGTCCGTTTGGCAAGGCGACTTTGCCTTCGTTATTGCGACTGACTAGTCCATTCTGTAGGTCCTCCCGAATCTGTGGGCAGACGCGAATGAAATGCGCCATTCCGCTGCAGTACGAGCAGCCGGGTGGACGCTGGGCGAGTTCCGGGCGGGCGACGATCTGAAAGAAGGTCTGGACTGGAGTTTGGACGACGAGCTCGCGCCTTTGGCTGCCGAGGATGGCGATGAGTTGGTTAACGGAGGTGAGCAGCGATTTCATGTCCGTTTCGAGTTGGCTGGCAGATTGCGGCTGCTCAGAGCTTGGCTGGCGCTCGGTAGCGAGCTGTGGAGGCAGCGGGGGCTCCAAACGCGAAGACGAACCCGCGAGTACGAATCTTGCAGCGTCGTAGACGTCCTTCAAGTCGTATGGATCGTCTGGGTGGATATTGGGATGCAAGATATGAAGCCGTTGTTTCACGAAGGCCTGGAACGCAGCTGGTTGGAGTGTGCGAAGGAAAGCATGACTCCGTTCGGTCCCGGAGAGGCGGTTTTTCGACATCAAGAACTGGGCGATGCGCGTAAACGTTCGATAGAACGTAGCGAGGTCGTTTTCGCAGGAGATTCCGGCTTGGGCAGTCGAACGCAGGTGAGTCTCCCAGTCTTTCAAGGTGTAAAGACTGTCCTCATCATTGCCTGTGTAGAGTTTTCGGACCGCATTCTTGAAATCGTCGTAGGTGGCTGACGTGTCGCCAGGTCGTCCATGCCCTCGACGAGTTCTTGGTCCTCGATGGACAGGTACCGTGCGCAAGCTTTCTTGCACTGTTGTTCATCCCTGATTTGCGCCAGATCGAGTAGGTATTCGACATCAGCAAAGTAGCGTCGGAGCTCCGAAGGTTTCGAAGGGTCGAACGTGGGTGCCGTCAACGCGCCGCGTGCGGGCATCGGGATGGCGGGAGCTGTTGACATGGTGGGTGGCGGGAATGAGAAGTGAAGTGAGGCGTGAGGTGGAGAGTGGGGTGTGAGGCGGAGGCAGGGTTGGAGAGATGCGAAGCAAAGTGAGGTGAGGCGGTGTCGGAGTGAGATTCGAGAAGGGGTAGCGGGGGAGAGCGAGTTGGGGGATCGAAAATCAGGTATGGCTGTCGTAGAGTAGTAATAGATCGATTTTGGAGACTTTTACGTAGCTGTGCTGTGAACCAGGAGGTGCGTCGGATGCACTTTGAAGTACCCTCGCGGTGGGCTCCAAAATGACAAGCTTTCTCACTGGTGTGAGAAAGAACAAGAAAAGCAAGAGCCCTTCAAACTGCTCTAACTGCAACCAAAGGCTACAGCACAACCAGAGAGGGAGAAGAAGAGGAAAGACTTTGAACTGTGGGGGAAACTCTGCTGGGGGAAACTATATGATATGATGAACTAACTGGAGACAGGCTTATATACCCTACTAACTAGGAGCTAGGAGAAGGAACAGGAACAGGAACTATAAGGAAACATACAGGAACTAAGGAACACATAAAGGGAGAGATCAGGAACAACTACCAAATATGGACAAACAAGACCAAACAAGCAACAACAAGCCAAAGGCTTGTCAGTACTGCTCGAGGGCTTGCGCATGCGTGAGCATGAGCCGAAGACACGTGATGTCGCGCTGCCAGTGTGCGGCAAGCAAGTCGCGGACATGCCGCTTCGGCTGCCCGTCGATGCGCAGTGTCAGCGTCTGCAGCGCGCAGCCGGAGCGCTGGATCAGTGCGCCGAGGAGAGCGGAGATGTCGGGAAACGGCAGCCGGAGGCTGAGCACCGTGTCGAGCGTGACCTCCGTCAGCCGCGGCAACGTCAGATACGCAAACAATGCTGGCGGCGCGGAGAGGTATCTGAGGGTGTGGTGGGTCACATGGGTGAAGTGGGTGGTGTCGTTTGACACCTCAATTGTCAGGCGCTCGAGCCGCGGACAGTGGGTGAACACCCACAGTGCGTCGTCGGTTCCGTCAAGGATAGACCAGTGGAGGTCGCGCAGCTGCACCCAGGGTAGTGCGATAGCAAGCCCCGGAGGGAGCGCAAGTGAGACGGTCTGCAGTCTGGGGGGCACTGTCGAGTGCAAGGCCAACCGCTTTCACGGAGTGAAGATCTCGAACTCCATTCGTCGACTCCAGGGAAAGGGATTCCAGCTGGGCCAGCGACGGACAGCTCGCCAGGCGCATGATGGCTTCTCCAGGAACGCGGAGATCCAGCTCGCGGAAGCGCGTGATGTGCGGTAGGATGGTGTCCATGAACTCCGCCGCCGCCGAATGCGTGTGCGCGGAGAGGGAGAATTCCAGCGGATGTTGGCCTGCGCGGGAGAGGAAAAGCTCTAGTCGCTCCTGCCCGTGGCCCCCACCGCGAAACCATGCCAACGACCATAGCGCTGGTGTTAGCAGGGAAACAGCACGCCAATGGCGGCAGACTTGAGACATGAGCAGTGGCGCGGCGAGGAGAGATGGTGTCTGGCGAGGCCGAGGGAGACAGTGCTCGAAAATCACGCTGAGAACCTCGGGAGGACACCCCAGCGTGGCGTTGTTGGCCATGCTGATGGAAGTGAAAGAAGAAGGACGAGATGTGATAAGCAGAAAGTTGATCCGAGTCTGATTAAGTGTCCACAATTATATTAATATTATACCTAAATATTTTTCGACTAAGTATATTCAAGTACTCATAAATATGATCATAATATATGTTGTCTTCCGCATATTCAGTGGGAAAATCATGAATATGAATAAATATGAGCGGCTGTACATGTGCACGTGGTCTTACCAAGTCAGCAGTCACGGTCACAATCAATGCTGCCACGTCGTTCTTCATCTCTGATCATACATCGACGATGCATGAGTGCTTGGCGCACTTCGATATCCGGCTCGAAATCGTTACCCACATCTCCGCGTCGGAACGCAAAACCCTTTTAGCACTAGCGCGCACCTGTCGTCTGTTCGAGGGGCCTGCGCTCGACAAGCTGTGGCGAAAGGTGGATGCCCGCGCTGTGGACGGCCTTCTCAGCTGCTTTCCTGTTGGGTCAGTTCAGGTAACAAGGGAGCCTGAAGGCACCCTGCTGGTGCTGCGTCATTAGCCTTCCTTGTGCAGTGTTACATCTTAATGTTCGTTCACTGAAGACTGCGTTGCGCCCATTGGTGGTCGGTGACTGGGAACGTGTCCGGGCGCATTGCTATCGCGTAACCCGATTCCACATCTCACTGCTGGATGTCGTGGATGGTTCCGCGGCGCCGCTAGACTTGTATGGGGATGCGTTGTCGTGGCTCGGGACCTGGCTTCCATGGGACTGTTTGTTTCCTCGGCTCAAGGTCTTGGGGATGAATGTGATTGACCTCTACCGGAATGAACTGGACCTCTCGATACACATGCGTAATTTGCGCATGTTCCTATCGCCCACCCTGCAAAGCTTCGCTGTTCGTGTCAATCACGACACTGATTCGGTCACGATACTCTCTATGCTGTCTGTGCTGGTGGCAAGCAAGAGCCCCCTGCTCACTCATCTGTCTGTCACTACCATGATGCCTTTTGACAGGGAAGAGGATGACCCCGCAGTTGGACTGGAGCAGTGGACCATCATCGGTGCATGCATCGAAGCTTTTCCTCAGCTACAAAGTCTGCATGTTCCGACGCTCGATTCCCGTGCTCTGCAACATCTTGCCACCATGGATGGCTTTTTGAGCTTGCAAGTCAAGGAGGTTTCCGCGGATGTGGTTCCGGAATCCTTATCTTCCACCGTGAACACATTCCAAACGTTGAAATCCGTGAACATGGGTATCGCACACTTGTCGAGTGCCATCCGTCTCGTGGGCTCGACTCGAGTTCTACAAGAATTGTCAATCACACCGATTCTGGATGCGGGTGATGCCTCTGACGACCAGCAAGCGGCCGCGGAAATCTGCCGACTGTTCACAACCCTCGCGTCGACATCGTCTGCCGTCACCCTTAGCTTAGTGGAGCTCGACATGATGGAGATCTCCGAGCAGTCGCACGTCGTAGCGTTGCCCCACAATGTCTTAATAACCCTCGGACGGTATTGTCATGCCTTGGAAAGCCTCTATGTGCACAATACGGCGGTGATCGACGTTGACGATCGCACGCTGACGCTACTTGGCGAGGGATGTCCGCATCTGCGTCAGCTCAGTCTGTGCAGCGAGCGCGGTCCTATACCACGCATTCCTCCAATGAAGATCGCCGCGCTGGCCACCATCGCGCGCACTAAGTTCAAGCAACTCAAAGTACTCCACCTCACTGTCAACGCCAAACGTCCACCCGCAGCCATTATCGCAGACACGGCCGAGTCCCACTGTTGTCTCGTGCAGACCACGTTACGATGCCTCGTGTTCGAAGCCTCGCCTATTGCGGACGCGCATGGGGTCGCTGGGTTTCTATCGAGCATCTTCCCGAATTTGACGCAGTTATATGCGCTGCTCGGCTCGGCAGTGCCCGTTTCTTCCAAGGCCCCGAAGCAGGCAAGACTCTGGCAGGAGGTGAAACTACTGCTACCCCAGACCCAGCTGTCGCCGAATGGAGGAGTATTATGAGGAACACGCGGAAAATGCCTGCACATCGATCTCATGGCATAAGCATAGTTCATGCAGCTGCACCTTGTCCGCTGCCTGGTCCACCGTGACAGCAATCTCCAACCTGGCTTTTTTGGCACGCCGCTGTCCATTGTTTTGACATAAGTATTACATTTGCTACTAGCATTTCTCAGGAATTTGAATGCAGATGTGAATGTGAATGTACATGTAGCTTGTAGTCCAATTTGAAGTCTATGAACTAGTTACTGCTCATTGAACCTCAAGTCCTCAACCGCCTGCATTTTCAGCCCGCCCGCTACATATACCATCGCGATGCCAGCAGCAGCGGCCAGGAACCCAAGCCGCCAGCGCGTGGTGGGATACTTGCCGTCGACGAGCGCGGCCTGCAGCTCAAAGTATCTCCACAATCCTGTCGCAATATCAGCATCCTCAAGCTGGACACTGCCGTCGAAACGACGGCTGGGAGACGAGCACATGCTCGGAAAGGTTAACGCACCTACCGCAAGCGTGTAGAGCGAAAGCAAAATCGCGCCCGCCGCCATCACCCGCCCATGTTCTCCGATCCCGTTACCTCGACTCTGGCTATCGGACGGCCGGAAAAGCTGTGTCAGCACTGCGATTACAGTCAGAGACGTTCCTGAGGCAATCGGTCATGGCGCACCGACACCGGCAGCGGCAAGCGCCAAACTCGTGCGGACATACGCGAGGAAGGTGCGCTCCAGCGCAAGGTGGTCGCGCGCGACACTTCCGCGGTTTTCTAGGACCAGCGCGACGGAGGCGGGCCCGAGCGACTGGCTGCCAAGAACTGTGTCTGGTGTGCTTGAATGCCTTGTCGATCGATAGGACACATGCTGGCCCAGGCGCGGTTTGCCAGCAGAGTCGGAGTCGGAAGCATTCGGAGGGACGAAATCTACAGGGAGCAGCGGCGCTTGTTCATCGAGTGCGGGAGGAGGATGCGAGACAGTGTTGAACGGAGTGGGCGGAGGAGCCATCCTTCAGCCACCTGCCCGCTCGCGCAATCCCAGATGAAAACGCGCAATAGCTAGCGTTCCCACGCCCGGATCGCACCGACGGCTTGCAGGAGACGCCGATCAGTAAAAGGTGCATAAAGTCTTTTGAATCTTTAGTCTTTTTGGAGGATCTTTGGTCTTGGGGACCAAGTCTTTTGAGTCTTTAGTCTTTGAGGTGTGATCTTTGGTCTTGGAAAGCTGTCTTAGGTCTTATTCTAATATGATCTTTGGACTAGCAAAATAAAATCCCTTCAGATGTAAGAAAATGATATTGAATACCATCCAGTGAACCAACATTCATATCCGACAATTCATAGTAAAAGGTTTATTTCATTGTTTCTGAGTTCTGAGTTCACAAATATCATGATATGTCAGTGATCAAATACGGCCCTAAAGTTCTCTGATGTGTGTCACATCGATGACACGTCAATGACAGATGGCTGATGAGCGACGGCGATCGGTCGCCGCTTTTCTTTCTTCCTTTCCCCCCATCTCCCGCCACCTCCAAAGTCCATTCCCGCCCATTATCGACTCAATTCCGACAGCAAGCGTCCCAAAGTGCAAGTTCTTCAACTCTCAATGCCTTTTGGCTTCAAAATGAAAGCTTTTTCTCAAATGCGCGTCAAAGACCCTCAAGCCGTCAAGCCTCAAGCTGCACTGCAAGCCTAGCCGAAGTCCCTCCGCTCGGCGTCTCGCACCCCTTCTCTGCCCCTGCCATTAACCCCAACACCGCGTAGGGAAGCAGGATGCTGACTCAGTGCCGGCGCTTGGTGAGTGTCGTGTTTGCGTTTGATTTTTTCACTGAACCCACCCTTTGCCGATGTCCGCGTGCTCGGCGGGCTCCCGGTGCTGCCAAATGCGGTCTTCGCGGAACCAATGGTGGCCGCCACAATGCCTCCTGCCTCCCGCCGCCACCGTCCCTTCCCAATTCAACCCGCAGCATCGAAAACATCTCCACTCCCGCGCCGCTCACGTTCACTACATTCTGCACCCAAGCGGCCAAGCCAACGTCCTCGCGCTCGGTGGGATCCAGACGGCGCCGAGTCGTCAGAGGAGATTCCGGCCAGGCTGGCCAGAGGGCTCGTGTTAGGCGGTCAAAACCTCCTGCCGGCCCGCAGCTGTCTGCTATGGAATGTAGGATAAGCATAGTTGAATAACCAAATTGTATTAGCTATATTGAATTTACTGCTGCTATTTACTCTTTACATTGCATCTTTAGGAGTCTTTGGAGGTCTTAAAGCAGGTCTTTATTGTGGTCTTTCATAATCTTTGAGAAAGACCTTAGGTCTTTTCCAAGACTGGGACGCTGCTGGAATAAGACCCAGTGTCTTTTGGGTCTTTCAGGTCTTTCAGATCTTTTTGGTCTTGCCCAAAGACCAGAAAGACCTGAAAGACTTTTGTGCACTTTTACTGATCGGCGCCCAAAAGCGCTGGTTGCATCCATGGACGCGTGAAAGGTGGAGGGGAGATAGGATAGAGTGGGACTATGCTAATTTGACGCGCTTTGATCTCGTCATCGTTCTTGCATCGCGGGCGTCGTTCGGGCGAACCCCTGGCATCGCGTACAGAAGGTAGGGACGGCTCGAGTAAGAAAACCGTGCGGGGAAAAGGGTCGGAAACAAGTTAGTGAAGCAGATGGTAAGTATGAGTAGTAAAGAAGCCGATGATAGCAATGCAAGGGAATGTATGCGGTGAGAGATTGAAACGTCGCTGGCGGGTAGGAGGATAAATCATGTGTAAAGGCAGGCGTAAGAGTTGCGGGGAAGGAATTGGCAAGGAAAAAGACAAGTATTGGACCTGGTATCGCACCGGGCGACTGGCAAGACGCAGAGAGTCATGATGAGGAGTTCGAAGATAGGAATGATAGAGATGCGGGGATGATGGCATAGTCGGGACTCGCTACATAAATCATCAGAGAAGACAAGTTTGGATAAGACCTCAGGCTAACCGCAAGGATATTTGCAAACGATGAATGAGGGACGCTCTCTCATCTTTCCATCTGGGTTGGCCGTTTGTCGCGGAGGGAGGTGATGTGTGTTAAGTAATGTATTGGAAGGAAAGACGCCTGTTGGGAATGCGCCTGCCCATTCGTTGTCAGTTTCGAAAGGTTTGCAGTACAGAACCCATCAAGTACACAGACCAAGAGTCCCCCATCTTTCGTCCTCTGTCTCCGCGAAGACGTGGCACGATATCTTCTGCGCGAGTTATTGTTGCTTGCACAGTCTACCACCAACGCTGTCCGTCGTTTTCGATAGGACCTGGAGGGTCGACAGCGAAGCAATACGAGACGAATGAAAGACTTGAAATAGTGTCCCAAGGTCTCTTGAAACACAAATGCAAACGAAGGATGAGTGCCAAAAGGTTGGTTAGGGCCGATATCTTGGGAAAGACGGGTGGAGAAGAGGTATTTGTATGACGAGGGGAGAGTTTTCCCTGGCTCTGAAAGTGCGCGAAAGTGACACTGGAAGTGACCAGAAGGGCGAAAAAAGGTTTGGCGGCGGATGCAGGCGATGTGTGTTAACGTTACTGTGGCCTCCAAAGACCATTCCTCCCCATCCTCTGCAGCCTTATCTGCGGCACAGCGAAGGATGCAGGTGACAGGTGAGACATTGGGAACCAGAAGAGCCCAGTTAACGCACCAGCACCTGCAATTCGCCATGACCCATAGTACCCTCCCTCCTTTTAGTAGTCCTCTCAATACACCACCCTCTTCTGCCAAAACTTCGCGCCGTGATGCCCCCTCGCGGCGGTGTTTAAGCCAGACGGGTGTTAGGATAGGCGGGCCCGGTCGGTCGGCGACATGACAGTGTAAGAGAAAAGGGAAAGAGTGTGACACGCATTCTGGCTTACTCTTCCTGCACCCATTCGTCGCTGTGCTTAGTTGAAGCTCTGACCTTGGTCAGTCAGCTTCATGCTTGCTATGGACAATGTGTCCGACGACACCCACGGCCCTCTGCCTCCTTCGGACATCCATCTGCTCCGGAAAGAGGCAGAGCAGATCGAGAAAGCCATTGATGGGCTGGAATTTCAGCTGGCACAACTCAAAGACCGTCTCGCCGCCATCCAGGGCCACCTATCCGTAACCGTCTACCCTGTTAGCACTCTTCCCGCCGAGATTCTCTGCAACATATTCGCGTCCGCCGTGTCTTCCTCGCTTGGGGGCGAGATTACTCGCGCGCTGCTGCTTATCACTTCTGTATGCCAACGCTGGCGGCACGTTGCCATTGCGGACCCGATTCAGAAGTTATGGACGAATACTTGCTACTTTGTCAAGAACGTCGACTCGGATGTGCCCTTACAATTTGACAAGTCATTACTGAGCAAGTTATTTAGAGAACTTCCCCAACGCTTCCACCACCTCCGCCGTCGTCACCACCTGCGCAAACTCCTCATGGAGCGCGGCCAACGCGACCTCATGCATCGTCTCTGCGTCAAACCGCTGCAGCCCTGGATTCTTCCCTCCCGGGGCGGCGCCGCGTTCGAACATCCCCGTCGCGTCCCGGGGCAGATAGACCGGCTCCCACCCGAGGTTTCCCGCCATGCGCGTCGTCGTGCTGACACAATGCGCCGTCGTCAGCCCGACGATGACCAGCGTGTCGATCTTGTCTTTGCGCAGATGCTCCTCGAGGCCGGTGCCGATGAAGCCCGAGTTGACGTGCTTGACGAAGATGGGCTCGGCTTCGAGCGGGGCGGTGGTGGGGAGCGGGACGATGCCTTCGGGGTGCATATCTTCCACCTCGTTCGGTCATGTCGTCGACCACGTCTATCCCAACATCTGTCTATCTCAAGGCACCGCCGAGATAGGGCCTCAGGACGGGATGCCGCTGCAGGAGATGATGTTCCATGTTAGAGGATAAAGGAGGGAGGGCAAATGGGTTTTGTGAATTGCTGGTGCCAGTGCTGGTGCGTTGATTGGGTTTTTCTCAAAATCTCACTGCCGTCTTAGGACCTGCCTACCACTCTACCTCCCCCATTTCATCCGTCTTCGGTGCTTTACCCGCCGCCCCAGTCATCTCCAGCGTAATCTGCGCGTGCTTGTCCAGCCAGAGAATACCCTCCCCTGGCCAAACGGTCGTATCTAGAGGCTTACCAACGCTATCGAGCGCACTCAGGCGAATCAGCTCGCAAGAACCTACCGGAGAACAGGAAACGACGAATGTCCTGCGTGGTGGACTCCGCTTCAGCGGAGGCCCCGGGAAGCTTCTGCCAAGGGTTGTCCCCACAATCCTTGGCAGAAGCTTCCCGGGGCCTTTCAGCGGCGAGAACTTGGGCATAAGATGTGGTGGTTGTTGCGGAGGCAAAGGGTGGTGTCGTTATGGAGCTAGGGTCCTCTTAATGGAAGGCGCGGGAGAACACTGGTATGTGCCGGTGCTTGCTGCGAGCCTTCCGAAACTGACAAAAAGTGCATGGGCAGGCGCATCGAAAACGCGGACGTGCATATTGTCAATACATTATCCAGCCCTATGACCCTCTTCCGCAAATGCTCAGCCATCCATACTGGGAGATTAAGGAGTGTTTCTGTGCAATCTCCCTCAGTATTTCAGTCTTGCGAAACGAGAGTCGTAATACATTCCATTATTATCGATTTGGAGTCTGGCGGGACTGCCCATAGTTAATTATTTGACTCGGCGTTTGCTCTCCAAGCCTACCATACAGCTCCATGTCCGCAGCCCTGGAGGCAGAAATCGCTCATGGCATAAAACGAAGCTGGAGGATGATGACGAGATGAGGATGACGAGTCACACGTGGTGAAACACACCTTGTCTCAGGCACCGCCGGAGCGCTGGAACGCACAAATTTTCGCCACATTCGCGGACCGCGCTCCCCGGCTCACCACGCTTCACATTCAAGAGGTGTGCATCAATTCCACGGAGCTGCGGGAGGCACTTCGGCATGCGCCGGTGCTGGAGGAGCGCGCGCTTGCGGACGTCGCGGTGCGCGTGCCCGGCCCGCCGATGATGTGCGAGGTCACTTTTCCACTGGACGACACGGCGCTGCGTGTGCTCCGCGACGACCCAGACATCGTGCCAAGACTGACGCGGCTCGACCATGATTCATATTCAATCCAGTTCGAGGACGCACTCCTGGCGGATTGCCTCGCGGCCCGCGCTAGGACCAACCGCGCGAGGCGGCTGGTGGCGCCGGGGACAGGCCATCCGTTCGTATTCGACGGGCGGCTCATCGCGGCCCGCGTGGACGGCCAACTTGTGGACGGCACGGCTATCGAGTGGGTGCAAAAGGACGTTGACCAGATTTCCAGTCTTCTGATGGCTTCTGGATGGGGCGAGGGGCTGAGGTTTACGATTGAGCAGAGACGATGAATGAGCTGCTAGTGAGAGTCAGCCTTCAGCACTGCCGGCATCATAGGGCTTGAGACGGGACTAGGACGTGAGCCATATTTTCGCTGATACCACACGTTATTGTGTATTCAAACATATTTCAATGGGAAGACCTGAACGAGATGAAGGGTATTGAAAGAGTAGTCCATGTGATAAGTAGCGATCACTACAGTAAAGCCAATACCGCAAGCCTGACATCCGCATCTGGTCCAACAACCCGACTTCTTTGAACAGTGCGACCTGCTCGCATCGCGGGAAGAGCACCTCTCGCGGGGGCATCGGGAGGTAGTCCGCGGGCCGGAGCTCCTCCATCGGAATAGCCCCCAGCGATCGTCGTTGCCGGCCAAACACGGGCTCGACATATGGCATGGGTGTGGGTTTGACAGCGGCAGCGACAGAGCTGGCCAACCGTTTTGCGACGTCGACTGATCGTCTGCGAATACGGTTTGGGTTGGGTAGTGAAGATGGTGCCGAAGCTGGTGAGGACATGTCGGGCACGGATACCCGGCGGCCGCCCAAGGGTACAAAGCCGTTGCGGGGAACGACAGCGCGGCGAGCATATTCGGGTTAATGTAGACGTTGTTGGAGTTGTGGTAGTGGTTTGGGTTGAGGATGGGGTTGATTCTGGGGCAGCTTTTATAGCATTTTTGCGCGGATAGCGGAATTTGGGGAAGATGTCTGAGACCGGTCCTCTGACGTCATGTCTCAGGCAGCAAATGTGGCGATGCAATCGAGGGAGAGTTTTCCGAGACATTCGAGGCTGTGGCGAAAGGTTTCGGTTGGTCAGAAATTGAGTCGACGGTCGAGGCGATCCAACCTCGGTGAAAAGATCAATGGAAGGATGCTAGGAGGAAAAGAAAAAGAAATACACACCGGTTTACATCTGGTACATGCACGCAAGTGTGGGCCACGACCTGCTGGCCCACCAGTTTCGAATCTTCGGACATTGCACAGAGTCGACAGCGGTGGAATACGCGTGCATGAAGTACGAGACAGGTATGGTTGCAGGAATTCGCAAATTGAGGGGAAAGGAGGAGTGTCGGAGACTGTTTTATAATTATCGAGCGAAAGCTTCATCAGGAACGCGCTCTCGTCGTCGCTTGCTTCGCCTACACGCAGCCCATTTGTAAAGTCTTCAAGAGTGCGACTGGCGGTCCATGTTGCCGTTGGTGGTGGCATTGCAGGAGCAGGGGGTGGACTTCTCGAATACGACGGGGTTGTTTCGCTGTGGTGGTCCGATATGCTGCGAGAGGAAGGACCAGCGGCGGTCTTCCAGTTATGTCCGACCAGAGCGACATTCGTGTAAAGCTGACGAGTGGCCCGGGATTCGTCAGACGGTACAACTGGAACAAAGCTCAACAACGCACTGAAGCCCGCTTTAAAAACACGGTCCAGCCACCACCACCTTGAAGCCCCGCCCGCCTGCGTGAACTGCATTCCTTGCCGCGGCTTGAGGAGAAGCTACAAGCACGGAACTAGAAGCAGGTATAATGTAGCTGCGTGGGAGGGTTCGGGTGAGTATTGTACAGATGAAGCCAGCACACGCAAAAACAGATGCGACACCTGCTGCATCATATTACTAAAGTGTCGCTTCTGTTTCAATATTACGTATGATACATTGATTGTCCCATCAGACTGAAATGATCCCCAACAACATATATATAATGTACCTTTCCCCTTAAACGAACCTTTAACTAACCCTAACCGAACCTAACCAACCCTAACCAGACCTAACCAACCCTAACCGAACCTAACCAACCCTAACCGAACCTAACCAACCCTAACTAAACCCTAACTAACTGAACCTAACCAACTTAATAAATACTAACAAGATAAAATACCAACTGTTGCCATCTCCTTTATCATCATATTATGATTGTATCATCGAAATTTGCTGTATCAAATGTTTGATTTTGATGCTTAGATAGGACACGTGTCGCATCTAACTACAAGGTGTCGCATCTGTTTGTGCGTGCGCTTGCTTCATCTGGTATGTCCCGGGTTCGGGTGGCTCTATGCTGGATGAGACCATGAAGGGACGGCGCTGAGAACATACTCGATGCCGCTCAGTGGTCCCGGACTCCCAGCTCAACCCAGCCAGCTGAGGCTGTCCATCGTCGAGAGCTTCCTGGTACTTGAATAGGCTGGATATGACGAAGACTGCGGAGATTGAAAACGAAGGAAAGTCTGCGGGAGAGGAAGAAGTCGGAAGCAAGTGACATTTTGGTGACATCACACCCTTTCCTTGTCATTCCATTGCTCCATCCCCGGCGCGGGCGCATTTTCATCCATGGCGCTCCTCCGAAGCGCTCCCGACACCTGGACGGCCGAGGGAGTCCAATCCTCCTTCTCGGTCGACTTTGCGCCGCCGGAGCTGACAGGAGCGACAGATACCTGCGGTTGGGGCTGGAGGTTTGGCTGGAGACTCTACAGTGATCGGCTCATGGTGTACTTTGACCCGCATCTGATCGCAAACGCACACTACGGACGGGTGTCGTGGCAGACACTCGCAATCGGTCTGCGCGCCGTGCCAGATCAGGGCTTCGTCTCTCTTGACCTGCCGGTCGGGGCCGTGGCCGCAGCGCCGTACTATCAGCCACTGGGGATGCTCATGGGGTCCTGGCGCACCGTGGTATCTTCAGAGCCCGGGAAACCCCGCGCGGCACCAGTCTTCAAGATCACTATCTCCTTCGCAGGCCTGGCGACTCTTCCCGTTCTCCAACCCGCCGTCATCCAGACGCGCCTCCCCTTCTCTGCAGAGCCGCTGCCCGCGCGCATCCGCGCCTGCCTCGTCGACACCATCCACGGCGGCGAGCTCATCGACATCAAGTTTTGGGTGTACTCTCGCGTGGGCAATGGATGCGTCTCTCATCCACGGCCGCTGTACGGAAGCCTCAAGCTCATGTGTGGCACTTCGAAGCAGTTTGACGAAGGCATGTCGCCAGAAGGGGACTTGTTTCCGTCCTGACCTCTGCCAACAGATATCCACGACATGTTGAGCGGGTTTTCCGAGTCCGGGCAGACGGATATCGCGAACGACGAGGCGCCAGAGGAGAAGTTTGCGGAGTACGAGTATATGTCGGACAGCGATCTCGACGACGATGAAGAGACTGAGGCTATCGTCAATGAAGAACTTGGTGCGCTTCCAGTGATTTTCCTTCAGTTTATCCACGCAGTTGAAGTAGAAACTGCGAACGTCAAGGAGTCCGACACGGTCCTACAATCAAGCACACAAGCATCCGTTACCACATATCTCCCTGTGAAGCATCACGACTCTGGTCGCCACGGTCATCGCATTGTGATTAAGGGACATGCCTACAATACGTGCGTCATTGCAACTCTTATTCTTGATACATACCGTGTTTTCGTAGATGGAAAGCACTGCTATACTACCTCTACACTGGGCAAATCCACTTCCGCGCCCTCAAGACAGCAAAGCATAGTGGCCCAGTGGGTCCACGAGAAGACGGCGCGCCAGAATGCTCTCCCAAGTCCATGTACAAGCTCGCGGACAAGGTGAGCCCAGCACTCCGGCGACATGCTGACCGTCGGCACTAGCATGACTTCCCGGAGCTCAAGTCGCTTGCGCGCGACGCAATCCTTTCCCAGCTGTCGGCGAACAACATCGTAACGGAAGTCTTCTCCGACTTCACCGCCATGTGTGTCTTCCCTGGAGGCTGATGATGATCTGACGCCCCCGAAAGGTTCGATGAAATCAAGGCGACGCAGGTCGCTTTCCTCCGCAAGCGCCTGCACAGTCCGGCTGTCCGCGAGGCGATGACGGGCATGCTGCCTCGCCTGTGTGCAGGCCGCGGCTCTTCGGCGTCTGCGGCGGTGTTGCAAGACGTGATTTTTGGACCGTAGACAGCCGGCGTTGCTATTGGCCTCTTGCATGCAATTGCAAGGTGCGCAAATCATGCATGGCACTTGATGACTTTATTGTGCGGCTTATTATACAACAAGCAAATGTATTGGATTGGCAATGGAATATGACCGCTCTCCAAAGTAAATCATAAATCATCTACCAGGAGTCCCCTCAGGCCTCAGGCTCGAGGCAAGGACCCTAATAAGGACCCCCCATCGCTTTGTGCGATGACTAGAACCGGGTTGCGGTACGCGCTGGGCATCGGGGCATCGTCGGTGCCAGTGCACCGTCGGGAAAACAGGTCGTCCGTGGTGATGCGCCGGCGCGTGCCGGTCGCACAAGGCCACATGCAAGTGTGCCGCACAGGGGATGCCAGTGGTGGTATCTCGCTGATTGGCAAGTTCCAAGGTGCTCGGGATACCCTTTGCTCCGTCCTCTGTGCGACCCGCCCGCACACGGCCTTATGCGTCCGGCACGCGGCGGAGCAATACCCACGGACGACCTGATTCCGCGTGATGCACCGGCAATGTGCAGAACATCCAGCACCCCAGTGCCACCTCGCGCAAAGCGGTGGTGCAGCGCCGGCGGTCCGAGTCATGGCGCACTGGCAGTTATCGGTGAAAAGGAGCAATAGTATGATCTCCGCTTGAAACATGCTCACCAGTCAACCCAGTCTGGGTATCAGGGGTCCATCGCTGGGGCTTGTATCCCTGCTCGCAAGCTCAAGAGTCAGCAGATGGGCACAACGGCCGGCTGCCGTCGATGATGCTACACGTACCAGTACCTGCGGGCTAAGCCAATGAGATCGATGACAGCCTGGGACAACGGCTCGTTCTTTTACTCTTCTACTCTTGACCAAGTCTTGACGCCGTCGCTCGAACTTGGGGGCTTGACGCCACACCACACTCTCCGACGGACATCTTGAGACTTGGGCTGGGCCACCGTGTGCGCGGGCCACCATAAATTGGCGATTCACCGCATCTGGCGCTTCCTTTGGCGCTGCATCACCGCATAATGCCCGCACTTGGCGCTGCATTACGGCATATTGGCGCACCCATCAGATTGATGTCAAGTACTTCTTGTCTCCACTCCACCATCACTAGCACGGTCCACGGGCTTGAAAGCGCCACGTAAAAGCCGGCCCCCTTGCTGCCTAGTACAAACACCGCTCTAGCGCTTGGGCACGCAATCGCGTTGCGTTTCTCTTCGAATATATCAACATTCAAACTTCGCCCCGGGCCACTGGCAAGCTGCACTGCTGTATTCCAACCCGTCGCGACCACCACCTGATGTCGGTGGCCCTTCGCTGAACCTCGGCCCGCCAACGCTGTCGGGAACGGCACGAGCAAGCAGTTCATTGGCGGCAAGTGCCCGAGCGACAAGGACTGTGCCTCCGGGCGCCGTGCCGGCCCTAGCAGAATCTGCTCTGCAGTTCAATCCACGGATCGCGCAGGCATCTGTTGCGTCAACAACTCCACATCGAATGGCAAACTTGAAGGGCAGGAGCGTCACTCACATGCGCGCTACTGGCAGAGAAATGAGGTGCGGTCTGTGTTGCTTACAGAAATCATTGCGCGCCCCATCGGTGGTGGAAGGCGGACCGCCGCGCCCAATTTAACGGCATGCCCCGACCCCGCCCGCCATCTACGCTGCCTTTCCGTGTCGTCATGGGCAGCCCATGCACGTCGCAGATGACACACGTGCTGCTGGCCAGCATGTGCTTGCTAACCCGTTTTCCTAGGCTCTCGGCACCGTCGCGCTCGACTTGAAGAGCGCCTCTGTACTGATGGTGCGTGGCGGTCATCGTGTATGCTCAGTGCTCACCTTCCACTAGTCGTATCCAGACTGGCGGGCCATTGCTTTGCTTTTTGACCAAGTGGTGGGCCTTTGCCGCTACCCGTTTCCGCGCGGCGCCGCATCCCACCCTTGTAGCTCCAGTCGGACGTTGACAGCGCGCTTCGGCAATCTGGGGGGTTGGGGAGCTAGCTGGTGAGTCAGCACTTTGCCAATTGCTATCGATGGCTGACCGGGTTACGCAGACGTTTTGCGAGAAGCACGTTCGCCACGAGCCGCTGTCGTCTTACAAGGCCGTGGCCGTGTTATAAGACGGGTTCCGGGTTCGCCCGCCTCCAACGTTAACATGTGCTAGGCGTTCGTTTCCGTTACTGGCGGAGGCAATCTAAGTATTCAGGTGCCAATGGTCAGTCTCGGCTCAGTGCCTCCTCACCGTTGCCTCGAGAGGGTGACGCGGCAGGCTGCAGCCCGGGGGCTGACAAGATGTGAGCATGCCCGTGTTCAGCGATGAACTTCCAACTGTCTGCGGACGCTGAAAGCACGCGAGCGGGAGCGGCTCACAGGTGCAGGAGGTATTAGGTGAATGAGGTTTGCTTTGTCAATCGCCGGTTGCTGACTGGGTTGCGTAGGTGTTTCGTGTGAAGCAGGCCCGCTATGCCATGCATGCAGCCCATGCTATGAATGCTTGCAGTCATACTCGGCTGCCGGTGCAAGCGTGAGGATTCGCCAGGTGATCAAGATGTTGCCACTTGCCGGGCGCGTACGCTGTATTGATACTTGTCTTGTCTCTGCATGCTACTTAAGGAAATGTATACATTTGGCTGACTAGGATGTGTCGATATTGAATGGGCTCAGCTTTCAAGTGGTATTGACTGCATAGGTCCGAGTCCTCAAGGCCTTCAGGTGAAACACCACAACTTGGCGCAACACCCGCCACACATTGGCGCTGCAGTATATTATGCTGGCGCTGCAGTCACGTTACGCTGGCGCTGCAGTCACATGGCATTGGCGCTGCAGTCACGCTGCATTGGCGCTGCATGTCACGCAACTAGCGCTGCATGTCACACATCTGGCGCTGCAGAGTGACTTGCAAGTCACACGTTGGCGCTGCAGCGTGACAACGCACCAAGGGAAAAAAATTTGGGATTGGAATAAATGAGCGCCGAAGGTACCTTGGGTACCAATGTATATAACCTATGTGAGTTCCCAGTCAAATGTCAACCCCTTCACACATAGAATGCTATCTAAGTCAACTTTCACACTGGGAATTGTTCAATTTTTGCAGCATTTCTGGCCTAAATCACACTGCAAAAGAGGCCATGTCCCTACTACTCATGTATATATGTATCTCTGACAATCACTCAGGCCCAAACAACTCCTTTTTAAAGAGATTTCCACTGGTTTCTGCTACATCAATACATACTGATGAGTGTGAGAAGAAGTACGTCACAATTTTGGCGCTTCAGACGTCACAGTGTGGCGCTGCAAGCGTGACAATTTGGCGCTTTCAGCGGTGAAGCGCCAATTTCTGGTGGCCCCGTGTGCGCGTGACACCCTTCAAGTTACGCATGCGGCATCTCCGAGTCACGAAGCAGCTGTTAATGTTATTCAATATTGAAGGACGAGCTCCTGCTCTTTTCAGTAACGCTCAACAGCAGCTCCTAGTAGTATAAGCAAGTAACTCACCACGTCCACCCCTCATCATCTCACACTGGCAGGGACGTCAACACCCGGCACTCAACCGCGGCTCGGACGTCTGTCTGTTCTCAGACAAGCACATCATTTTGATCCAAGGCGATGCTCACGCCACGCAGCCACACCCTTGTCTCCACACCACCACCACCATCTTCACCTACTCACTCCCCTTCCATCGAATGGCCACATCTTTCAGCCCAGGAGCAGTCCATATCTATGGTATATCCTCCCAGTCACTCCTATAACATAAACATCGACATATTCTGCAGGAGGCTCCGGGGGAAGAGGCGGCGCCGGACTGGATCGCGGTGGACATGGCGGAACGGGAGAAGGGCCCGTTGTTCACTTCCACAGTGCACCACAAGGGTGAGCCTGACAAATTGATTAAAGTAGCGCATCCAAAGGCTTAATTATCCCAGGACACCATTTCCAGAGCGTGAGTTCAGCTCAGAATGTGGTATATAATCTCTTGTGCACTAACTTTTTGTTTTTTAAAAAAAAACTAGAGCCCTACCATGGATGTCCTTGCCCATCAGACAGTTTCACAGGGCGGGCAGATATCATCGCTGAAGTGAAAAGGCTTTTTGGAGAGACCAGTCAGCAGGGCCAGCAGAGGGTTCTGCTGCATGGTCTGGGTGGAATCGGCAAGACACAGACTGCTCTCAAGTTCATTGCAGATTCTCAATCCAGGTGAGCATTCTCCCTGTTGGCTCTGCTGGATCTGAATGACTATCTCTCTAGGTTCACCGATCAATTCAAGATAGATGCAAGCAGTGAGATGACAATAGAGGCAGGATACAGGGATATTGCCAGCATCAAGAGCCAGGGACTCTCCAGTGCTGCTGCAAAGAAGTGGCTTATTGGGAACACTGAGGAGTGGCTGATCCTCTTTGACAATGCAGATGATGTCCAGCTGAATCTCTGGAAGCACTTCCCTCAATGCAGCCATGGCAATATCCTCATCACATCCCGTAACCCCAGGCTGGATGTGCATACAGGACAAGGAGCCAACAGGAAGTCTGTTGAAGTGTCTAGTTTGGCACTTCATGAGGCTGTTGAGGTGATTTGTAGCATTGCTCAAATCAGTGACAGAGTGGTAGCAGAGCAGTTGGCACAGGTGATGTTATATATATAATCTCTGACCTCTGATTGACATGTTGCAGGAGCTCCACTGTTTTCCTCTGGCCTTGGTGCAGGCCTCTGCATATATTGCACAGTCACGCAAGTTGCAGCTGAGTCCATCCAAGTATCTTGACATTTACAGAAAGAACAAAGCACAATACTGGCAGGAGAAACCACAGCAGGTGGCTTGGGACTATGAGGCCACATTGCATACTACATTCAGAGTCAGCTTCGACAGCTTGCCACTGCTGGCTCAGCAGATCCTGCAAGTGTGCTCCATTTTGCACCATAGTCAGATCACGGAGGCCATATTTGCAAATGCATCCCACTATCAATGGGATGCATCTGAGTGGGACAATCTACAAGTTCCAGGGGAAATGCCTATGGCATTGGCTACTACTATGAAGCTCTTGGCCAATTTCACAGATGAAGAACAGAACTGGGATGAACTGGAGTTTGAAAAAACCATGAGGCAGATAGAGGTCTATTCTTTGATTGGCCAGAGGGACAATAGATACTACATGCATCCCATGGTGCATGAATGGACAAGATTGACACTGGCTGGAGAGATCCAATTGAAGGAACATATAAATCAGCTGGGTTCTTCATTGATGCAGAAAGGTTAGGAAAAGTGATTGTGGAAAGACTAGAAAGAAGCAAAGGGCCACAGGACCCAGCCACTATTTCTGCCCAAGAAGAGCTGGGAACAACATTTTACCGGCTTGGCAAATATGCTGAGGCTCAAGCATTGCATAAACACACTCTGCAGCAGCGTCTCATTACTCTTGGATCTGAACACCCAGATACAATCACAGCTAAGAGCCATCTTGCATGGACATACAGTCATCTGGGGAACCACCGCAAGGCTGAGAAGCTAGGAGAGGAGATTTTGCAGCAGCGAATCAGGATACTAGGGCCAGAGCATCCTGATACTCTCAGTGCAAGGACTGATCTGGCATACACATACAATGAGAGTGGCAGATGGGTAGAGGCCCTAGAGCTACAAAAGGAAGTGCTAGAGCAGTGTATTCATATCTTGGGGGTGGACAACCAACATACCATCATTGCAAAAGGTGAGCTGGCATGGACATACACTGAGATGGGGAACCATGCAGAGGCCCAGAAGCTGAAAGAAGAAGTTCTTCAGCAGTGTATCCAGGTCCTAGGGTTTGAACATCCAGACACCATTACTGCTAGGAGCAGCCTTGCATGGACCTATAGTGAGCTGGGAAAACATGCTGAAGCCCATCAGTTAAAACAGGAGGTTCTCAAGCAGCGGATTCATATTCTAGGGCAGAAGCATCCCGATACTATTGCTGCCAAGAGTGACCTTGCATTACTATATGAACAGATGTAAAACTAAACAACAATGCATTTTATATATGAAAAAATTAGGTGTTGGAGTTCACATATCAAACCTTGGGTTAGAGAAATATATTTCTTCACTTCTTAAACCTGTTAGTTTGGCCCTTGTTCAATAAGATAAGACAAGGAGGAGCTAAGATAAATGATAACATAGTAATTGAATGATTAGGTGTCAATGCTGATGTTGATTAAGTGCAGAGTTGAAGATGAGATAAACTCATAGCTCAAGTATAATATCATTGCCTTTCATGCTGTATACTATGTCAGAATTATATGTTACTTATATGCTATACACAGTTACACTGCAACACCTTAAAAGATTTCTTGTAGCCCTGAATATACAAGATTTCTGTCAGTCACACAAATTGCCCAAAAAGAAAATTTCGCCATTTGACAGTGTAATTATCAGAGAATGTCACAAACCAAAGTTGTATGTTTGACCATATAAACAACTTTCATTAAGCAACCTATAGGGCCAGTTGAATTGTTGTACCAGTTCTGCCCAATAACCAACTGATCTACAACTGATGAGATGATATCACAATAACTAGAGAGGCTACGTAGCTGATTGAAATACTACTAACTATACTTACAAGTCCTCCTAGCACTCATTCACATTGAATAGCCCAAAGCCAAACCATAACAAGAATCGACAATATTAGCCGAACAAGTAGATCCTGTAGGTACAGTTCTTAGATAAGAAGGGCATGTGATTCTATGCATCTTTGGATGCTCTGAGGTTATCCTTGGAGTGCAGCAGGGTTTTGATATGATGAAGATATCTGAGTATTTCTCTTCAAACAGTTGATCTGCATGCAAACTTCCTTGGACAAGTTTGGACTCTCTGACCATCAATCAATATCAGATGTTATCCTATTTGGCCTTTTGCTTGTTTACTTATATCATTTAAGTCTTTAGTTTGTTTCCTTTGCCTTGTATATGTCTTCTTGTTCCCCACACTTATACTTATCCTGCTGGGAGATTGTGCAGATCTTCCTTGTGCTCATATGCCTTATATCTACTACTTAGTATAAATACTTGTACTCTATACTCCTGTACTCCAGTTTCATTATTAATATATATATATATATATATAGTTATATTAACAACTTGGAAAGATAACCCATAAAAACTAAGTAGACTTGATTTGTAAGAAATTCAGTCTCATATTAGAACTTGAACTCAATGCCAATATGAACAGATAATTTTGTGGCTATGATTTATAGCAAATAAATACACCAAATACAAATCATAAGTGACAAATTGGCATCATATATAACAAATCACCCTTATATATAATAGATTAGTAAAAATTAGGTAAAAGACTTAAAGTTTTTTTTTCTGATATTTTTTCAGGCCAAAGTTGCCAAAAAAAGAAAAGTTGAAACTTTGACTTGGAAAAAATTTATTGAAAAATTTCAAATTTTTTATCTAACCTTTCACAGGAAAAAATTGTGGAAACAGCCCAGTGATATTGGGATAATAATAATATGATACTATTTTCTCTGGCAAATATTTGCACTTGAATGAGGTACAGTTATTATCTAGAAAATGTGGTGAGGAGTAGTCACAATATATGTTGTATTTGATACCCCCAATACAGAACTTGATTTCTTGTAAATCAGATATAATTTTTGCAACTTTGATTACAAGTCAATCAAAGCAGTAAAAAAGGCCATTGTTTTTTACCAGTATTTCTTATAAGTATAGAAATTCTGCTTAGGGGACTGTTTGTTGGCTGAAATGCCTGTGTGATATGCTAAGTGGCCACAAATAGTGGTCATGAACAGGAGAACCATAATATATATCAAATCTAATACCCTGATATGAACTTTTATTTCTGTCAAATGAGATCCACTTCTGATAGCTTTTAGTCCTTAATGAAGTTCCTAGGCTAGCCCTGATTTAAGTACTGCCATTATTTGTCATAAATAAATCCTGCTACCTTTTAGCAGCGTTATTATCCTATTAGAAGACAATATTATAATATAATTATACAGAGTGCATCTTTCAATAGAGCATACTAGCACAGCCTATTGCCTTTACAGTACTAAAAGCATGTAATCAATAGTTGTCAGCTTCAATGACTAATCTTGCAAATCGTTGATACAAATCTGCCGTCTTGGCCTCCATGCTGGATCATGCACCTCACGCACTCTCATGCAGGCCACTTGTGAGCAGAGCGCTCTCTCGATCTACATCTGCCCCCGTTAAGAGCGTCACCATTGCACTTTACGAGAAAGAACAGCACTGGAACTCTCGAGTGGCTATCGTCGTCGAGATTCCCCACATGCCGCTCCCGACCAAGTTGCCGCCGCAGTACCATTAACGGCATTTGACCCGCAGCACTGCCCTCTTCTAAGTTCTCCTCTTCGCCTCCCTCTTCGACCCCCTGCATGCACTTGCTTTCAGCCGCCCACCGCTCCTTGCTCGCCGCCCATGCCCACCACCCCCATCTCACCATCTCCACTCTTTCCCTTGTGGCCACGGCGACGTTCTATCGACTCTTCTTCCTTCTGCTACTCTGGCGGCCACGGCCGGAGGCTTTCCCCGAATCACGGACGCTATTCGTTACCCTCCTTTTCGCGCTGCCGACATGGGGGCTAGCAATGTGTCTCGCGCAGAGCCACTGCTTGTGGTCGTCGAACAGGAGGAAGGAACGGGTGAACGGAGGATATAGCCTGGTGCCCTTCAACGATCGAGAGTGGGGTGTGGACGTGAAAGACCCTTCTTGTCTCATATTCGGCACCAACGCATTCGGGAGTTACATGGCGTTGTTCTGCGTTGGACTTTACCTTGTGGCAACCTTCAGCCTGCCAGAAGACGTCCAGTATGGCGACGTCATCCGCGGAGCGCGTAGAAGCACAGTGCGGAGGAAAGAGGGCCATGGCTCGGGCGGTGAGCAGTCGATTCACATGCTGAATGGCCGCTGACTCTTTCTCAGAAAAGATCTTCATCGCAGCCCTGTTCCACAATAACGAAGAGGTTATTCCTCATTGGACAAAAGAGATTATGAAGGTCATCAACTATCTCGGAGCGGTGCGTTATACCCAAGAGGTGCTTTTCGCTCCTAATGCATTCTAGGACAACGTTTTCGTGTCTATCGTCGAATCTTATAGCAAAGACGCCTCTCCGGCTCTTCTCCGTTCATTTGAATCACGCCTCTCTTCACAAAAGATACCACATCGCATCCTGATCCAAAACACAGCTGTTCCCCGTCCGGTCAGCATGGAAACTGCGCCACCAAGGATCGAGTTCCTCGCAGCGACCCGCAATCAGGCAATTGAGCCATTGTTGACGAATGACAGGCTGTATGACCGGGTGTTGTTCACGAACGACGTCTATTTCAATGCGGAGAGTGTGGTGGAACTACTAGAGACAAGAGGCGGAGGATACGATATGGCTTGTGGCCTTGACTTTCAATCGTGGGGGTGTGTATTCATCTCATCTTTCTGTTGTCGATTTTTGACCGTTTTGTGAAGGTTGTATGACCTCTGGGTTACCCGCGACCTCAACGGCGGCCTCGTCTCGGGCCTCTTCCCATACTTCCTCGAGCCGTTCGCCTTCCGCGCGATCGTGGAAGATCAACCCGCTCCTGTTTCGGCTTGCTGGAACGGTATCGTCAGCATCTCCGCCGACCCATTCCTTCCCCGACATCTCCGCCTCTTACGCGATGCTGGCAGTCGTTTGGCAAACCACACACTCCCAGCACTTCCGCCCTCCCACCCTGCTTATGGCCAACCACAAACACCGCTATTAAGACCACCGCTGACCTTCCGCGCGTCGGCGCTCGACCGAGGGGAGTGTTTCTCGTCAGAGTCGTTCAATCTCCCATATGACCTCCGGCGCCTATTCGGGCTTGATCGCATTTTTGTCAACCCGCGCGTGGTCACAGCTTACGAATGGCGTTTCTACTTCTGGTTCCGCTATGTCCTGCGGCACTGGGCAGTCCGCTGGTGGATGCAAGCCTTCGAGGTGGGCATGATTGGGCTTGAAGGGGCACGGGACAGGCTGCAGGCGGCGAAGGTCGTGCTCTATACGGAGTCCAAAGACACAAGCGGGGTCTGGAGATGGGATGGAGGGGAGTGTCACCCGGGACCCGTAAGTATTGTTTCATTTGGTTTTGTTCCGATGGCTAACTGTTGCGTCTAGTTTCCAGGCGTGGATTACGCCAATGGAGGGGAGTAACCATAGGATTCACGTATATTTATTATTTGTCGCAACGCTGTAATCTGTATACCATATACTGACTTGGAAGCATTGCCTGCATTTTGGCAAGAGGTCCAGTCGAAGAAACGGAATCAAATCATCAAACTGCTGATAAAGATCTTCCCATCTTGTCTTCATCAGTAAAAGTGTCAAAAAGTCTTTTAGATCTTTAGTCTTTGCAGAGGGTCTTTGGTCTTGGGGATGAGATCTTTTGAATCTTTGGTCTTTGGTAAGCAGTCTTTGGTCTTGGAAAGCAATCTTTGGTCTTATTCTTTGATGATCTTTGCAGTCAACAAACCCAATTATTTTTTGTATAGGTGTGAGCAGGTGGGGAGTATATCATAAGTCCATTGGTTATGAAGGTCTGCAGTTTTAGACAGAATTAAAAGGCTTTATTGTAAATATTGAGCTGTAAACTGTTTTCACAAGCCCCAAGTCATCCATCAAATGACGGCCCTAATGTTCCATATGCATCATGTTGCCATGTGAATGACAGATGGCTGATTGCTGTCGGCGACTCATCGCCGTTTTTCTTCCTTCCTTTCCCCCCTCATCCCCCGCCCCATAGGCACCCTCCCACAGCCTCAATTCCACTCCTCAACGCTCTACTGCCTCAATTCCATCAATACACACGGCTTTCCCCCTCAACGGCAAGTTTTCACGGCTGACAGAGCACACAAGGCTGCGAATGCACTCTCAAGCCTTGTCTCAAGCCATTCATTCAAGTCCGAATGGCCGCCACGACGGTGAAACGAATCTAGACAGCAACAGTCCACAACTTCCAAACTCGATGGTCAAGGCCATGCTCAACGTCAAAGTTGGTGTCCCGCCCACTCTGCGCTCATTTCTCGCCCAAGTCCCGCCAAACTTTGCCCACCTCCCTGTCTCCGTCCCCGTTCCCGACGACATGAAAACGATGGCCAACGACCGACGCGTTCCCCGTCGCCGCGACTACCCATTCCCGCCTTCCCTGCCTTCCCCCACCCCCAATACTCGTCCGTTTCGCGCCGGAACGCAGGATTTGGCGCGGCTGGGTTGCCCCTGCAATGCTTGAAGGTTCTAGCCCGAACGGGCCAGCCGTTGCCTCCCGCCGACCTGCCCGCCTCTTCTGCGCCGATTGCGTTCGACGCGCCACCTGTCGCTTGCGTTTCGGTCAATAGTTGAGGGGCTGTAGTGTGAGCGTAGCCATGAAAAAGCAAATTGTATTAGCTATATCCAATTTACTGCTTTATTGGGTCTTTGTATTGCATCTTTGAGAGTCTTGGGGGTCTTAAATCAAGTCTTTATTGCAGTCTTTTATGATCTTTGGGAAAGACTTCAGGTCTTTTCCAAGACCGGGACGCTGCTTAAATAAGACCTAGTGTCTTTTGAGTCTTTCAGGTCTTTCAGATCTTTTTGGTCTTGCCCAAAGACCAGAAAGACCTGAAAGACTTTTGTGCACTTTTACTGATGTTCTCCCTCCATGTCGGATGGACAGTCGAGGGTAGAACTTCCTCTGGAGCTCGAGAGGGAGATATTGGAACTCGCGCTCGCGGAGTACCCCTCGGCTCTTCTCGCGTTGCTCCTCGTGTGTAAAAGAGTGAATGCCTGGTGAGTGTGAGGACAGCACATGGCCTACAACGCTGATTATTCCCGCGAGGATACACCCTCTGCGATTTCGGGTTGTCAAGCTCAATGAGTCAGCGCGCTGTCGTGATTTCATGAATGAGCTCCGGAATAAACCAGCCTCCCTCATGGCTTCCCACGTGCGCTGTTTGCTGGTCGAAAGCCATCGCAATCCCCGGTCTCACGGCTTTCCCGACGCTGTCGACATCTCAGTGGTCCTGGAGAAATGCACTGGGATCGTCAATTTTGCCTGTTCTCAACATCTCCATGGCTATGGCACAAAACTACCCGAACTCGCGGCACGAGCACAATGGAGGCGGGCCACACTCGACCTGTGCGCGTTCTTCGACTCCGGCCCAGAAATAGATTCGGAAAATGTCCTCGTCACTCCTCCATCTATCGACCCAGCTCATCCGGCACTGGCCCACATTACACATCTCAGTCTTCACGACCGAGTGACGGGAAACGAGGAAGGCGGCATATTACGCAGGCTATCTCCTGCAATATCTGGCTTGCCCAAGCTCACCCACGTTCGGTTGAATATGGAAGCCAGCACCAACATCAGCCATATCCCGCCCATCCTTGCACTGCTTACAAAATCCCCTCGAATCAAAGTGATGTTGCTGGGGACGTACCTGTTCTTTGAAGACTGGAATGCCTTCTTCTCGTCGACGTCGGAAACTCCTGACGTCCGGCTGGTGTTGCTCAATTTACGTTCAAGCTTAATGTCCGAATATGATCGGTTTGTGGAAAACTGGGAAGCTGAAGCAAATGGCGGTTACGATCTTTGGGCGTGGGCAGACTGGTTTGTTGCTGATAAAAGGGCGGGTTTCTTCAAAGGTAAGCGCTATTGCTCTCAAGTTGTGTTTCAGCTCAAATTTTAGAATCCAACTTATGGCTTCCACAAGCTGAATATGAAGACGATGAGGAAGAGTGCTACGCAGACGCTTATTTTGAGTTTGATTAGGATGGTGTACATAGTATCTGGTCCATCTGCGTGATAATCCGAGTTACGAGCTGAGCATCGAGTTAACCTCTTGCCGCGATGCGGGTAGCAAGGCGCCAGCCGGAACCATATTCTTGCTTTTGAACTCATCGCACATCTGCGCCATCGTCACCCACTCGACTCCTTCGTGCTTATTGATGTGCTCAATGATTCTAGAACGTATCAGCGAATGTAGCTGAGCTCTTAGGTCGAAACACGACCTTTCCTGCATGAGGAGGGCATGTGGACGGCCAGAAACATCGGGATGAATCGTCATGGGGAAGACGAACTCGTCGTATTCGCGGTAGAAGTAGTCGAAGTGGTCCTAAAGAAATGTCGGTAAAGGTTCATGGGTTATCATAGAGGCTACCTTCCAAATTGCCTCGACATCCCTGGCGTTGACGAACCCATGGCTGTTTGGAGCACTCTTGATGAACATCATCGGGGGCAAGTCGTCCAAGTACCAGTTCGCTGGGATCTCCACCAGCCCTGTCGGTATGCCCTGCACAAGGGGCTTCATCCACGTCTTCGCCGGCTGGCTATAGTCGATCTTCGTCCACTCGTCGCCCGTTCGAAGCCAGTACATCCGGCAATCGTCATGCCCCATCGAATGGTCGTACTCAATGCCATAGCTGAGCAGCAGCTCTGCCCCTTCACGAGAGGTTTCCCACCATGGCGCCACGCTCCCTCGAGGCGGCACTCCCCCACAAAACGCCGTCAGTTGGCGGTATGTCTTGTCGAGGACGTCGCGTTGTTGCTCGAGCGTCATGTCCTTGGGGTTTTCGTGCGAGTAGCCGTGTAGCCCAATCTCGTGTCCAGCATCCCGAACGAGCGCACATTCTTCCGGGAAAGTATCGAGCGAATGGCCAGGGATGAACCAGGTCGTCTTGATGTTGTACTTGTCGAAGAGTTTGAGAAGTCGCCGGGTACCAACAGTTCCCGCAAAGAGGCCTGAGGGACCGTTAGGATAGTATTGTGAAGGGAATAAAGCGGCGCACCACGACTGATATCACTCGTGCTGTCCTCTCCCCCATAGGAACCCAACCACCCGGCGACCGCGTCAACGTCAACCCCATAGCTGCAAAGGACGCGTTTCTTGTTGTCAGGCATCGTGAATCGCTGGGCAGGAGTAAGTCTCAGTAGGAAGGCGGTGTCCTGAGAGAACTTGAGGATTGACCTGGGAAGAGCAGATAAGGACCCGTATCGTCGTCACATGGCCATAGCTAGCCAATAGAGCCGCCACAGTTGCAAACTGGCGCTGGGTCTGAGAATGATACTCTATCGCACATGGTGGTTCGGGAAGGAGAAAGCTGATGACTCATCACGATGACACGAATGTGATCGAGGGCCGATAACTTAGCTAAAACTGAAGCTTCGCTACATACATGATTTTACATTCCAAACTGTACCAGACGCCGGATTTCTCCTGGAGCCTCCGATATCCGCCCCTCCCTGATGACTTTCGCCATCCTTTTCGCATTAACTCTCAAGCGCTCTCCTTTCTCGCCCCGCGCACCGCCAAAAACTGTTTTGAACTCGGCGACGGCGTCCTCCACAGTTCCTGTGATTTTGACCTCATCCCCGTGACGCAGAGAAGGCCCAATTGCATCTCCTGTGCGAATCTAATACGCATTTCGATATGAGAGAACAGTCCACCACCAGGAATAGCCATACCTGAAGCAGCTCGATTGCGACGGGATCTGGTTCTGCGGAAAGAAAGGCAGCGTTGATTGGCTGTTCCGCTCCCGCTGGCCAGATGATCAGAGGCAGACCCACGAGAAACGCCTCTGTCACGGAGCTACGAAAAGTTCAAGTCCGAGTCAGAAAAGAGGACAAGACACGACCCACTTCCAGCCACCATGAGTCAAGAACCATCCCAGGGCATCGTGTTGCAAAATCGCTCGTTGTTCCACCCAGTAGTCGCACACGAGTCCCTTGCCGCTTTTGTTGACGCGGTCGATAAGCTCTTGCGGGAGGGAGGCCATCGATCCGCCGAGGGCAAAAATGAACGGGAATGGCTGCTCCAGCGATAGAAGGGTCTCGATCAGAGCTTCGATGTGCTTAGGCGTAGCCACTGGGAAAAACAAAGAGCTCAGGACAAATATGAGCCTGGGCCGTGAAGTACTGAGTAAACGGGCGGCTTACCCAAATGAGATGTACAGTGCGGAATTCTTCCCATATTTTGCAAGGGCTTCGTCCAGGAACGACTTCACCGTTTCATTTGTAACCGGATTTGGCACGGCATTGTCGGCGAAATACTTCTCATGCGACTGGAACCCGACAGTGAACAGCTCTTGGCCCTTCTCCTTGTAGAACTCGCGCAGGAAAGGGACGCCGACTGGCTCAAAGAACCTGCCGGAGCAGATGATATACCCGTCCACAATTTGAGCCATCTTTGTCCCAGAACAGAAGATAGGGAAATTCGCGACGGGAACGCCGGAGGCCAGCGAGACACGTTCGTAGTCGTACATGTCGGCAACTCCTGGATTACTGACAATTTTGCCAGAGACTTTGTCGGAACCGTTCCAGGCGGTGGCGACCTCGATCAGGGTTAAGCTCCTCGAGAAGCCTGCGAAGAAAATGCGCTCACTTGGACACCGATTTCCTCTTTAGACCGTCCAGCCCTGCGCTTTTCGTCCGCATATATCTCCTCAGTGATCCCAATCCAGTCATACTCGTTGAAATGAGCCTTGAGGGACATCCCCGCACAGGTAAACCACATCAGCAGCTTGCATTCCGGACCCATCGCTGCTTTGGTCGCATCGATGATAGGTCCCCCGGACCTAAAATCGAGCTGAAAGCGTTCAATCGAATGCCCAATTTGATCAAAAGGATCACTGACATGGATACTCCGCGGCTTGGGCCATTCCGGAGACCCAGCCGCAAAACCAGGGAGCGCTTCAGCCCAACCGCCAAGTAATTGACCGAACATCTCCATAACCGCTGTTGGACCGAAAACGATGCTATAGTGACAATTTAAGGTAAGCCTCACTTTCCACAAGGCTAGATGGAGCACATACGTTTTATCCCCGACTCCAATGATGCGCAAGCGGGCAGTATCGTAGTCACACGTCGCCAGTTCTCTCTCCATTTGTGCAACTGATCTAGGTTCTCAGACGTCTCATAGCTTGATTTCAAGGGACAAACGCACCGACAAGGTTGTGCTGAAGGATGGAGATGACGAGTGTGGTGTCTGCCTTGAGCATCTGGAGCGCTAAATGCAGATAGCTGACGGAATGGCCCCACGCAGGCGGCAAGAGGGTCAGGATGTGGTGCATGATGGGCGGTGAGAAGCAAGGAAGGGGTGGCGGAAATTGGAATCAGTGGTTTATGTATGCTATGCCACCGGCGATCTTCATCGTTCGATGGGCGCCGGGCGGGTTTTGCGTGTCAAAATTTCGGGCGGGGACGCGGAGAGTTCTTTTGGCCGTTGAGCAAGTGAGACATCATCTGCCACGTTTTCCAGTAGTGAATAGCTCGTCACCGTATGAGGCGTTGGGTGCACACTGCACACCGACAAGCTACAGCTCCTACAGGTCGCGGTCCGGTGGTGACATCCCTGTGAAATGACGAGGGTATGCGGTGGGCCGTGGGAACTTACTTACCTATACTAGCCGTTTGCTTATAGTTGCTGTTGAGCGTTACTCCTAAGGAAAAGAGCTCGTTCTTCAAGTTGACCGCTATCGACGGCTTAGGCTATCGTTACTCCGAGTCGTGAGCTGCCGTATGCGTAAGGGCGTCACAGGCACACGTCCATTTGTAAAACGTTGGAGAGTATGGTGTGGCGGTAAAGTGAGCGCCAGCTAAGTTCGAGCGACGAGCGTCAAGATTTGGTGAAGAGTTGGTCAAGAGTAAAGAAAAATGGTCGTCACGTCACGGTCGTAAGTCTCAGGCTGTCAATTGAATCTTGATGTCCGCCAGCGCGAAAAGTCTTCAGGTAGTTCAACCCAAAGCCAGCACCGTTCCAACTCCTTCCAAATTGGAGGTGCGTCTGACAATGATAGGAGCAAGGGACTCCGCCGGACCGCGAGCAACATCATGATGGTAGGGAAAGCTGACTAAGTCACTTCTTTTTCCTCCTTCACGCGATCATCTCGAACTTTAAAGTTCTTCAAGCGCGCTCACCTGCCGGCATAGGCAAGTCTCCAGTCGTTGCTTCCCCTCGATTCCCCGTCGACCAACTTCTATGGACGCCGCCAATGTCTTCGAGATCCTTCCGACAAACCGGTATCGCTTGCACATGACTGCAGAGATGGCACCACGAGGTTGGGGGCCATAGCAATGAAGGGCTATTCTTGCCGTCGCTGCCATGCAGTTCAGACGGCTCAATGCACCGCGTTATAAACAGACCTTTTGAATGCGGCCCGCATGGGTCTTCGTCGGTCGTCGCCTCGCTGGTGGAAGTGGTGTGATCGGCGGTGGTTTCCGCGGCAGGAACGCGACAAACGGGCGGAATTTCGTGTGGTTGCGGTGCGCTCATGTCCGCTTTTTCATTGAGAACCACAAAGGGGGCTGATGATCAGCAGAGCACAAACGGCCATGTCGGGTGTGGCCTTCGTCCGCCAATGCCCCTCACCCGCCCGCAGCTGACTATTCGCGATGGCGGGGAACCCGGATGCGACACTGCGAAGCTTGCGCCTCCATGTCGCTGCCCACAGCACAGAAACTTCTTGCCAAACGCGTCGGCGCCCGCGTTGCCAGGCGGAAAGATATTTTCGCAGGTCGCTGCCAAGCCAGTTGACACGATCTGCGTGTGTCAGTGTCGGCGTCCAATCACACCGTGCAGAATCAATCAGTACCAGGACCACGGATGTCGCGAAGATGCGCCATTTACAGCCGAAAATAGCACGGATGTGGAGAGGTGGGGCAGTCACTTGGAGCCACTTGTTGTCGAGCTTACGCAGCTGTTTAGTATGAGCAGACCAGCGCCAGATCGGCTGTTTACCTTGTGTTTACCCCCAACCTCGGTGGTAATTTTCTCCGTAACCAGCTCTGCGGATCGTGATGGCAACGGTGCAACGCTCAATAAATTCCATGTTGCCGATGTCGACTGTCATCAGCATCGACTGCCGGACCGTGAGGAGGCCATCACCTAACGCCTCCCGTATATAAAAAACCCGTCCGCCAAGGAGATGCGCTGGCTTGGCCTTCCCTCCTCTCCCACTTTCGCTCGCTCGCTCGCTCACCGGACCTGGTGTCTCCCTCCGCATTCATTCCCACTCTATTCGCTTTCTCCCGGGTCGTTCGATACGCAAACACACAACTTTTTTTACCTTCGTTCGTATACATAACAACTTCCGGAAACTATGAGGTTCGCGGTTCTCTCCACCCTCGTTCTCGCTGCGACGGCCTTGGCTGGTGAGTGCTTCTGCGTCTTCTCCGCTCAGCACTGAAATCCCCATCCAGGCCCGTTAAACGCCCGCGCGGAGTCTAGCTCCAGCTCGTCCGTATCATCATCATCGTCGACTGCCGCATCTTCGAAGAACACTGGTACCGCCAACAACAACAACTCGAATAAGAACCAGAATTCGAATAACAACAACAAGAACACCGGCAACAACAACAACCAATCGAAGAACACCAACAACAAGAACAACAACGGCAATATCGACTGCGCGAAGGTCAATGGGAAGACGCTGAGCAACACCATCGACCGCGCACAGAAGGAGTTGGCACGCATTAACGCATTGTAAGCCCCCTTTATCCTCCCCCCTTTCGCCCCTGCGCTAACTGAGAGTTTTAAGCAACGGCATCAAAGACGCGAAGCCCATCTTCGAGGCGCAGTTGTCGCTCCTCGACGCGCTCAAGGCCGGCAGCGCACAAGCGGGCAACCAACAACAGCTCGCGGCCAACAACGACGCGCTGACCAAGTCGCTCGACGACGCGAAGAAACTGGTTGGCCAAATCCAGGTTGACGAGTGCGTCGCCGCGCCGTTTCACGCTGTGCGGGTGCTGACGCGCTGCGATAGCTCCATCTTGAATAAAAACAAGAACAACAACCAGAATAAGCAGAACCAGAACCAGAATAAGAACGCCGCCGACAAGTGGGTTTTTCGCTTGCGTGTCGCGGCTCGTTCTGACGAGGCTTTGCAGGGCCGCTGCTGACAAGAAAGCTGCTGACGAGAAGGCCGCTGCCGACAAGAAGGCCGCCGACGATAAGAAAGCGGCTGACGAGAAGAAGGCGGCCGACAACAAGGCTGGCGCTGCCAACAACAACGCTGGTGCCAACAAGGCTGCCGACGACAAAGCGGCTGCCGACAAGAAGGCGGCAGATGACAAGAAGGCGGCTGACGACAAGGCGGCGGGCGACAAGAAGGAGGCCCGCGCCGAGAAGTGCGTGGTATCGCTTAGTCCCGAGTTGGTTAAGCTAACTGTGCGCAGCGACAGCACGACCGGCACCGCCGACAAGACCGGCACCGCCGACAATAGCAGCAAGACCGGCACTGCCAACAGCAACAAAAACGGCGCCGCCAACGCCCAGAAGAACGGCAACAACCAGAACAAGAATGGCAATAACCAGAACAAGAATGCCCAGAAGAAGAACACTAAGTGCGTTTTCGGCTCGTCCTGGTGTCGCTTGCTCATGCGCGTTGCAGCAACAACAAGAACGCCAACAACCAGCAGAAGAAGGCGGAGAAACAGTTGAAGGTCAACGAGGGCCGCATCAAGGTATGGATACCTGGCCTTAACGACGTGAGGCTATATGCTGACGACGCGTAGAAAGCGCAGGGTCTTGTTGATGCCGCTGCGGCCATCCAGCAGTGCCTGCTCAAGGGCAACGACGGGCAGAACAACAACCAGAACCAGAACAACAACAACCAGAACAAAAATGGCAACAACAACGACCAGAACGCTGCTGACAAGTACGTCCCACGCTTTGTCGCTCGCTACCTCATCTGATATCGGGTCACCACAGAGCCGCTGCCGACAAGAAGGCCGCTGACGAGAAGGCCGCCGCCGACAAGAAGGCTGCTGATGACAAGAAGGCCGCCGACGAGAAGAAGGCCGCCGACGAGGAGAAGGCCGCCGACGCCAACAAGGGCCAGAACAACGCAGCGAACAACGGCAATGCAGCGAACAACGGCCAGAACAAGGACACGGCCACCTCCACGAACTCCAGCGCGGACTCAAAGGAGACCGCCAACAAGGCCGGCGCCAACAACGAGTGAGTTCTTTGATTGAATCCACTTACAGCTGCTGACCCACGGAGCAGGAACAAAGTCACCGTCATTCCCTTCCCCCGCCGGAGGGGTCTGAGCCGTCTCAGCGAGCTCGAGTACTGAGCGCGTTGTCTTGCATCTGAACAGTTTTCTCGGCCAGGGAGGAGTTACCCATTCATAATTGTATACTATACCATGTTTCGTGTATTGCAAGAGTAGTAGCGCAGATGGAATTGAATAGCAGCAGCGGTTGAGCAGCGGGCAAAGCAATCTTGTGCGCAGGTGGAGCTGCGCCGTAGGTGATGAAATCAGAAACCCGTCAACGTCTTCGTGGCGTCGATAATAAGCCCTCTGCAGGTAAGATCAAGCTCGGACTCAGAGAAATAAGGACGGGCATATAGGCAGAGAAAGGCAACGGACATGAAGGCTCTGGGGCTTTGGCCATCACCCCAACAACTGAGCAGAAAACCGGAGGATTTTTTTAAATTTTAATGAAGGTAATAATAGTTGAAAAAATGGTAACCTTTCTTTAAATTTCAATGGCTGAATGTTGCTCAGGGTCACAAATCAGTGACCAAAGTGACCAGATATGGTAATTTACTGATGGGAAGTCTCAAACAGGGAGTACAAGTTCATATAAGATTGAAAATATGCAGACTCATCTGTATATGCCTCTCTATGGCTGTCTAACATATAAAATAAAAAAAAATAGAGAAAAAGAAATTACGGCTGGCTGGAGGGGACTGACCGACCAGCGTCATATGCACTAATGCAATCATGCTTCCCCCCCCTTGGGTGAACTTGTATCTGTGAGTCACAGGTTGCTAGCTCCTTCTCTATCTGTGTAAGACTAGATGCGGTCAGAGACAGTCTAACTTGCGCAGAATTTTATGCACTAACAAGGTTGTCATGGTTCGGGTCGGGCCGTCAGGCTGATCGGGCCCGCACTAACTCCATACCCCTCGCCACTCCCCCATTCTTCCAACCCCTTCCGTTCACCCCTGCGTCCCTATGCAGCGCCCATCCGATCCGCCCTGGGGCCTGACGCCCATCCGATCCCTCCCTAAATATCGTAGCGTATAAAAACTGTACTTACAAGATGTAGTCGCTAGGCTAATATCATCTATTCTCCGGGCTAACACACATCTCTCGTGCTCCTCAGACCCACTCTAAGTCGGACCCCCCGACGCCCCGATACGGCCCGAGCCCGATGCTGACAAAGGTTGTGCTGCAATATGGTGACCACAAGCCTGAGAGTCAGCTCCGATTTCAGTATCTGCAGTGCGAAATGCAGATAGTGAGCGGTATGGCCCCAGGCCCCAGGCCCCCGGGCAGGAGGAGGCGGTGGATGGTGAGAAAGAATGTGAAGTCATTGCTGGTGAAGGAGGGGCTTATGTAGAGACGGCCTGGGGCCCAAGATGTCCAGGTGGGAATCATGTTGATTCGATGGACGTCGACGTCGGACGACAACTTGAATGATAACCTGAGGTTGGGTGGGCGGGCGGCCGTGGGCCAGGTGTCCGAATGTCGGGCCCGGGCAGGGACGCGGAGAGGTTGAGATGTTATCTCGGTTTCCAGTAATAAATAGGCTATAGCTCACAAGTGTATAATAAGAGAGCATTGAGTGCACACTGACAGGGTACAGCTACTGCCATGATAAGCAATGATGGGGAATATATTACCCAATAAGGTAAGGGGAGGGGGGGTCCCAGAAGGCCCTTAAAAAACTTTCAATGGTATATTACTCTTATGTTAAGCAGATGTTGTGTGAATGTATGCACATGTTTGGCATGAGCTTTGCTCCACACTTCTATTTTTGGGGTCGCTGCTGTTAAATTCTACTGTGAACAAGTTGTATCTAAGGTTATTTCCACATCAATATTCTCAAATTGCCCACAACTTGAGAAATGGTACACAAAGTATAGTGAATTGGGTTGCACTCAATATGTACTAGCAACTGCTATTCTTTAGTTAGTGGCAATGTTTAGAAATCTATATGATCTAAGCAACATTCAAGTTCAAAGCTGGGGCATAGCCCTAGGCCTGTCTAGTAATATAATGATAATAATGTGAAATATATATCATAATTTTTCTTATAATATATTATTATTATTACTCTTCTATTGAGCAGATGTGGTGTGAATGTATGCACATATTTGGCACTGGCCTCAGCAATTCATTTGCTCTACATTTCCATTTGTGTTATTTTGTGATCAGTGGGATTTTTTATAAAGAAATTCAATTTATCCAAGTAATATTTACAGCTGACGCATAGCCCCAGCTCTGTCTAGTCCATTTTTCAAATAATGACACCCCCTTGGCTACTGCACGCCGCGGTCCGCTGGCGGTGGTGACATCCCTGTGAAATAATGAGCGTACAATGCGGCCCTCGGGAGTTACTTACCGATACTATAGTAGTTTGGTCATAGTTGCTATAGTTTGGTCACAGTTTGTTGAGCTGCTGAAACGGAAAAGAACTCGTTCGTTACAGCTAACGACAAAATCGTAGGCCGACCCAAAAAATCCAGACATTGGAGCAAAAAGCTTAGGCGAGACAGCGCCGAGGAACGGCAGAGGCGACTACGCCCACAGCTCCACCCTCAATGCGCTCCAACAGCCACTTGGAGCCACTTGGATGGCATAGCCGAGATATCATGATTTTTTTGGGTCGGCCTACGATTTTGTCGTTAGCTGTAATTCTCACAGCTATTTCGACGGCTGTCGTGAGATTGCCGGTGGTCACTGGGGCGATGCGTGCCAGCCCAAGTTTGCAAAAGATTGCCAGAGAGTATGGTTTGGCGGTAAGGCGAGTTCCAGCCGGGTTTTGACGATAAGTACAAGATAGCCTATAGGAACATCCGCAGGTTGCGCAGAGCCCAGACTGCGCCGTAGGCAGGTGATAAAATGGGCGACTTCGGGCGCGGTTCCGCGCTGTTCGACTGCCTTCCATTACACGTCACGATGTCGGCGGGCGCGTCCAATGGGATCGCGCCAAGCGTCGCCGTGACTGATGTCGGGAGCCCGTGACGCGTGACACCGAGGGCCTTATAAGCCGCGCGACGCGAGTCATTGCGAGTCCTCGCCCACCCACCCACCCACCACGAACTTGTAAGTCGCCGCAACGACATCGTCCCACCAATGTCCACTGCCTCCTCATCCTCTCGGGTCTCTACTGCATCAGCAGCAAGCTCGCTCGAATGGCGCTCTCATGAACGCCCTTCATGGACTGCCTTCCACGACGAGGACGACGCCGAGCACGAGCATTCGCTAACTACCAATGCCCAGACGCTACATGACCTGAACGGCAGCCAGTTCTCGCGCGGGACTCTCCCTTCGAGCTACCTCACGATGCCGTCCGCCGCCGCAGACCATCACCGCGCATTGCAAGCTATCAAAGACCTCACAGGTGCTCCATCTCCCCGCCACCGCGCGCCCTGCTGATAGCTCTACCACAGCTTCGCCCGAGTTCCAGAGCGTCGGCGACAGTTTCGCCGCCGACTTCAGCGCGTACGCGGACGAGCCGCTGTTCGACGACGACGACGACGACTACCCTGAGCCCGAGCTCGAGCACGACGATTCCCCCAGTCCCCATGATACGCCCTACACGCCATACCTCACCACGCCGCTTCTCGATATGGAGCACGACCTCGGCCCTGCGGGCCCTTACACTATCCAGGAGACGGAGCTCGCGGGACAGCTGTTGGCGCTGCCTTGCGACATCAGCGAGGCAGTGCCGGTCGCTGACTCCAAGCCGCCCGTTCCCCCACCGATGCCCACCGAGAAGCTCCTCGTGTTCAGCCCGAGCACGCCCATGCTCGACTCATTCGACGCCTTCCCATCGACAGCCCCCGTCATCCCACCACCCCCTGCACGCTCCACTGGGACTCGCAGGCTTCCTTACGCCACCGGGACGCGTAAGGGGATCACCCCGGCCGACCTAATTCCCCGCGATGCGCCGACGCAGCGCCGGACCTACAGGACGCCCAGCGCCACCTCGCGGAAAGCTGTCCCCGCGTCCCTGTCCCGCAAGCGTCTGCACTCGAGCGCTTTCGGTCACGAGGACGATTATGAGGCTCAAAGCGCGCTTCAGAAGATCGTGGACAAGCGGCGGAGCAACACCCTCGCTGCGCGGGACAGTCGCCGGCGCAAGGTCGAGCATATCCTGAACCTCGAGGCCACGGTCGATGAGCTCAAGACTGAGGTCGGCGTGTGGAGGGAGCGCGCGAATATGGCGCAGGCGCTGCTGAAGGCGCACGGAGTCATGCTGGACTTTGGCGATGCGTAGGTATCGTTGGACAGTATTTTAGTTGTATTAAATTTGTGTATTAGTTACCTTAGTTTGCTGGACTAAAGATTTTCGATGGCCAACCGCCTGAATCACTGCCTGATAGCGCTTGGTGTGAAGCGACCGTCCGCTTCCACGGCAATCGCACGCAGGCGTTCCCTCAGACTGTGAATTCTCTGCATGCATTTCGGCCAGTTTCGTATTGTCGGGTGATAGATAGGCGCGAAGGGCGCCTTGCTACCCGCATCGCGGCAAGAGGTTGACTCGATGCTCAGCTCGTAACTCGGATCATCACACAGATGTACTAGATACTACTATGTACACCATCCTACGCAAACTCGGAATAAGCGTCTGCGTAGCACTCTTCCTCACCGTCTTCATATTCAGCTTGTGGAAGCCATAAGTTGGATTCTAAAGTTTGAGCTGAAACACAACAACTTAAGGGCAACAGTGCTTACTTTTGTAGAAACCCGCCCTTTTATCAGCAACAAACCAGTCTGCCCACGCCCAAAGATCGTAACCGCCATTTGCCTCGGCTTCCCAGTTTTCCACGAATCGATCATATTCGGACATTAAGCTTGAACGTAAATTGAGCAACACCAGTCGGACGTCAGGAGTTTCTGACGTCGACGAGAAGAAGCCAGTCCAGTCTTCAGAGAACATATACGTCCCTAGCAGCATCACATTGATTCGCGGGGATGCGGCAAGCAGCGCGAGGATGGGCGGGATGTGGTTGATGTTTGTGCTGGCTTCCATATTCAATCGCAGGTGGGTGAGCTTAGGTAAGCCAGATATTGCAGGAGATAGCCTGTGTAATATGCCGCCTTCCTCGTTTCCCGTTACTCGGTCGTGAAGATTGAGATGAGTAATGTGGGCCAGTGCCGGATGAGCTGGGTCGATGGATTTAGACCCAGTCCGAGGACTGCGAGTGACGAAGACATTTTCCGAATCTATTTCTGGGCCGGAGTCGAAGAACGCGCACAGGTCGAGTGTGGCCCGCCTCCATTGTGCTCGTGCCGCGAGTTCGGGTAGTTTCGTGCCATAGCCACGGAGATGCGGCGAGCAGGCAAAATTGACGAGCCCAGTGCATTTCTCCAGGACCAATGAAATGTCAACAGCGTCGGGAAAGCCGCGAGACCGGGGATTGGGGTGGGTTTCGACCAGCAAACAGCGCACGTGGGAAGCCATGAGGGAGGCTGGTTTGTTCCGGAGCTCATTCATGAACTCACGACAGCGCGCTGACTTATTGAGCTTGACAACCCGAAATCGCAGAGGGTGTATCCTAGCGGGAATAATCAGCGTTGTAGGCTTTGTGCTGTCCTCACACTCACCAGGCATTCACTCTTTTACACACGAGGAGCAACGCGAGAAGAGCTGAGGGGTACTCCGAGAGCGCGAGTTCAAATATCTCTCGCTCGAGCTCGGGAGGAAGCTCTACCGTTGAATGTCCGTCAGACATCGAGGCAGAAGACAAGATGGGAAGATCTTTATCAGCAGTCTGATGATTCCGTTTCTTCGACTGGACCTCTCGCCAAAATGCAGGCAATGCTTCCAAGTCAGTATATGGTATACATATTACAGCGTTGGGACAAATATACGTTAATCCTATGGTTACTCCCCTCCATTGGCGTAATCCACGCCTGGAAACTAGACGCAACAGTTAGCCATCGGAACAAAACCAAATGAAACAATACTTACGGGTCCCGGGTGACACTCCCCTCCATCCCATCTCCAGACCCCGCTTGTGTCCTTGGACTCCGTATAGAGCACGACTTTCGCCGCCTGCAGCCTGTCCCGTGCCCCTTCAAGCCCGATCATGCCCACCTCGAAGGCTTGCATCCACCAGCGGACTGCCCAGTGCCGCAGGACATAGCGGAACCAGAAGTAGAAACGCCATTCGTAAGCTGTAACCACGCGCGGGTTGACAAAAATGCGATCAAGCCCGAATAGGCGCCGGAGGTCATATGGGAGATTGAACGACTCTGACGAGAAACACTCCCCTCGGTCGAGCGCCGACGCGCGGAAGGTCAGCGGTGGTCTTAATAGCGGTGCTTGTGGTTGGCCATAAGCAGGGTGGGAGGGCGGAAGCGCTGGGAGTGTGTGGTTTGCCAAACGACTGCCAGCATCGCGTAAGAGGCGGAGATGTCGGGGAAGGAATGGGTCGGCGGAGATGCTGACGATACCGTTCCAGCAAGCCGAAACAGGAGCGGGTTGATCTTCCAAGATCGCGCGGAAGGCGAACGGCTCGAGGAAGTATGGGAAGAGGCCCGAGACGAGGCCGCCGTTGAGGTCGCGGGTAACCCAGAGGTCATACAACCTTCACAAAACGGTCAAAAATCGACAACAGAAAGATGATGAGATGAATACACACCCCCACGATTGAAAGTCAAGGCCACAAGCCATATCGTATCCTCCGCCTCTTGTCTCTAGTAGTTCCACCACACTCTCCGCATTGAAATAGACGTCGTTCGTGAACAACACCCGGTCATACAGCCTGTCATTCGTCAACAATGGCTCAATTGCCTGATTGCGGGTCGCTGCGAGGAACTCGATCCTTGGTGGCGCAGTTTCCATGCTGACGGGACGCGGAACAGCTGTGTTTTGGATCAGGATGCGATGGGGTATCTTTTGTGAAGAGAGGCGTGATTCGAATGAACGGAGAAGGGCGGGAGAGGCGTCTTTGCTGTAAGATTCGACGATAGACACGAAAACGTTGTCCTAGAATGCATTAGGAGCGAAAAGCACCTCTTGGGTATAACGCACCGCTCCGAGATAGTTGATGACCTTCATAATCTCTTTTGTCCAATGAGGAATAACCTCTTCGTTATTGTGGAACAGGGCTGCGATGAAGATCTTTTCTGAGAAAGAGTCAGCGGCCATTCAGCATGCGAATCGACTGCTCACCGCCCGAGCCAGAGCCCTCTTTCCTCCGCACTGTGCTTCTACGCGCTCCGCGGATGACGTCGCCATACTGGACGTCTTCTGGCAGGCTGAAGGTTGCCACAAGGTAGAGTCCGACGCAGAACAACGCCATGTAACTCCCGAATGCGTTGGTGCCGAATATGAGACAAGAAGGGTCTTTCACGTCCGCTGCCCACTCTCCATCGTTGAAGGGCACCAGGCTATATCCTCCGTTCACCCGTTCCTTCCTCCTGTTCGACGACCACAAGCAGTGGCTCTGCGCGAGACACATTGCTAGCCCCCATGTCGGCAGCGCGAAAAGCAGGGTAACGAATAGCGTCCGTGATTCCGGGAACGCCTCCGCCCGTGGCCGCCATAGTAGAAGCAGGAAGAAAAGCCGGTAGAAAGCCGTCGTGGTTAGGAGGGAAAGAGTGGAGATGGTGAGATGGGGGTTGTGGGCATGCGCGGCGAGCAAGGAGCGGTGGGCGGCTGAAAGCCAGTCCATGCAGGGGTCGAAGAGGGAGGAGAAGAGGAGAAGAGGGCAGTGCTGCGGGTCAAATGCCGTTAATGGTACGGCGGCAACATGGTCGGGAGGGGCATGTGGAATGTCGATAGCGAGAGTTTCAGTGCTATTCTTTCAAATCCTCGTGAACTGTAATGGCGACCTTAACGAGGGGGAGATGCACATCGAGAGAGCGTTCTGCTCGCCAGTGTCCTGCATGAGGTGCATGAGGGCCAAGACCAAGTGAGCGGCAGAACCACGATTTGTATCAAAGATTTGCCAGATTAGTCATTTAAGCTGACAACTATTGATTATACCTGCTTTTGGAGGTACTACACACAGGCAAGCGGTGTGCTTTATTGAGACAATCGTGAGGTATAGTGCTTATGGCGGGGGACAAGGCCGCAAGCGGCGATTGCCGAACCTCGGGCAGAACATGGAGCATGACCTACTTGTTTGGTCCATGATAAGCAGCATGACGCCCCCTTGCAGTTGGCAAATTAGTGGAAAATATTAGAGCTTATTAGCAACTCTAGATAGCGTTTTTCTAGCCCTCCGATTGGTTAAGAGGCCTTAAGCGCGCCTAAGCGAGGGATTTTTTTTTTGCACTGCTAATAAGCTCTAATGGGTGACTTCCCGTAAGCAAGATAAAATAAACCAATATTTCTAGCAGTGCCAAATGATGCCGGCTAGATAATTAGATGAACAAAATATTTGCTCTGGTTTCCTGCAAGCAAAAACTATAATAAATTGAGATCTGGATCACTTAATCATATTGTCACAGTGTAAACAGCTACATACCATAGATGCATAGAGTGGGAATTAGAGTTTGTTTGTTTGTTTGTAATTATTGGGGGTGTATCAACTGCCCATTGGCGCTGCTGCCGCAGCTTGTCATTGAGTGAGAGACGTGACAATGTGACGCTCTCACTGGGCTGTTTCCAGAATTTTCCTATGAAAATTTGAAATTTTTGAATAAATTTTTTCCAAACCAAAATTTGAACTTTTTTTTGCCAACTTTTGCCTAAAAAATGTCAGAAAAAAAACTTGAAGTTTTTTACCTAATTATTACTAAGAAAAATGTCTGACTATATACAGAGAAAAAAACTAGGACAAAAATTTCGGGTTTTTGCAGTTAGTTTATGTTGAATGTAGACAATTCCTTTTTGGGACCCTTACATAATTGACTTCGTCAGGCTAAGCATGTTGGCGGTAGACAATGCCTTTTTGGGTCACTTACATAATTGGGATTGAGCTTGGCACAAACACCCTATCAAGGCCTTTCTTCATTATGCCGAACGCAGCCAGGGGCACTGCTATCCTGGCACCACTGCCTTCCTGGCACCCTCACAATAAAGCTCCGCACGAGTGTCAACACCCGCGGATGTTTGCACAGGTACCTGCAGGAATACATCCGCAGGTTTGACATCCGCGGATACAGGTATCCGTTTCCCACGGATGCCAAGAGTACAGGTATGACTCTGGAAGATCTTAATTTTCATTATCCTCCATATATTCTAGTCACTACAGTCTTCTTATGCCCTGTGGTGTCCATATCAGTATATTACTGGATACTATATCCTATATAAGCTCTTAATATTGTCAATATACCTCAGTATCCTAATATTTGATTCAAAATACCCGTGGATAACCCGTGCAGGTACCCGTATCCGTGAGTACAGGTACCCGTTTCCCACGGATGCTGCAAATGCAGGTATTGGTTTTGAAGCCTAAATTACCTGCAGGTAGAGTACAGGTATTTATCCGTGACACTCGTGAGAAGCCTTACTCACCATCCTGCCACGATTGCTGTTGCCGTTATAACCTGGGACCATTGTGTGAGTCTTGTTATAGACAATTCCTGCAGGCCCCAGGCCTGGTGTATTCACAAAGATGTTCAACAGCTATGCAGACAAAAGTCATCCAAAAAATGCTTAAACATACAATATTTAGGCACCAAAAATAAGTCATTTTGTCCTGTATGGCTGAAATTATGCTGCTGGCGCTCAAGTCATATCGCGATACAGATTGTCAGCGTCGGGCTCAGGCTGTATCGGGGTGTCGGGGGAGGGGGGGTCCGACTTCGAGAGGGTCTGAGGAGCACGAGAGATGGGTGTTAGCCCGGAGAATAGACAATATTAGCCTAGCGACTACATCTTGTAAGCACGGTTTTTATACGCTACAATATTAGGGATGGATCGCCTAGGCGCCAGGTCCCAATAATGCTGCTGAAGAACTCTAGTATTTGTGTGGAGGTCAATGTAGAATAAATAGGCAAGCAGATCCTTGTATGGACATTCTGAACTTCAATCTGAAGCCAAACTGCTGTGTCAAATTTGACCAAATCATGTGATTTTGGATTAAACATCTTTGTGCATGTGCCAGGAGCCTATTGTCATCAGGTTGCGGATATCTTCCTGTCCCACCACTGTCAGTAACCTCATCGCATTGTCCTTCATAAAAGCAACAGTGAGCTCAAATCTTCATTGAATTACCAATAAGAAAACACAAAAATCAAGTACTTGAAAAGTATGTAACTGTTAGAGAGTTATGAATTTCATAGCTTAACTTTCTTATGTTGATTACTTATGTGGGGCCAAAGTGTGATTAATCAAAAGTCATCCAAAATCCCTCCCCCCCAAAGAAAAATCATGCCCACTTTTTTTTTTTGTAAAAAAAAAATGAGTATGACTGCAATATGCTAAATTGATCAAAATGGTAAAGTAGTGTTGCTGTTAAATGGTACAGAAAACAAACAAGATTTTCAAGTTCATACTTATTCACATTAGAGGGGTTTTAGAGTGCAAATAATATACCCTGATGTGTGATAGTCTGGCTTGGCCCTTACCTATATTATCCCACACTACGTCACAGATGACAACAAGAATAATATTTCTGTTCAAAACAGAAATACAATTACTTGTGTTATATATACTCACTAGATAGCAGATAGCACTTTGCAGAGAGAACAAAAGGAAATTTCTCCCCCTTTTTTAAAAAATAAAGTATTTTCTACTACCTATTTCCCATCTGCAAGTTGAAGGGTTGTCATGCTGCTTATCATGGACTCAGATGGGGTAGGGGGGGTCCAGACAGAGTCATAGTTCATTATATATTCTGGGAAAGTGCTAGTCAAGACTCAAATGAGTCCAAACAAGTAGGTTATGTATGTTCTGCCAGAGGTTTGGCAATTGCTGCTTGCAGCCTTATCCCCCAACATATAGATTATGCTCAAGTCATATTCAGTTCTTTCAGCCAGACACTATTTTTATAAAGTACTGTAGTATTTGTGCCCAGTGTCTGTGTTATGCATTACACAGCTGAAAAATCTTCTTAAAAAGAAATTGCTACAGTTTTTGGCCTTCTCAGGCACAAAACAAAAACAAAAACCCCAGACAGTTAATCAAGATAATACAATCATTACTAATCTATGCCACGATGATATTTTTATAGACAGCTTGCCACTGACAACCTCCTACCATACTGTAGCAATTTATTCAATTTGGTAGTCATGCATTACACTGGCCCTCCGACACCAACATATTTCAGTGTGTCCACAGGGGGTTCAAGTCTCGAATTATGGATATAGGGTCGGAAAGTTTTTTTGTGACCCCTCCTGCCACAATGTTCCCATAATTCGCGTCATGTGACCACTGATGCAATCAAAAAAGTGGGATAAAAAACTCAATCTTTGTGAAACTTTTTTGTTGCAAAAATTTTTTATGTATGTGTTAGGGATCGGCACCAGACCGTACGGTACGGCGTGTACGGTTACGGTACGGTGCCACCGTACCCGTACCCGTACCGAGGTTTAGGACCTCAGGGTACGGTACAGTCCCTTACGGGATGGAGGCCGTACCAGGCCGTACCGTACCCCCGTAGTACGGCCCGTATACGGGGTACGGTTGATGGCTTGCCGAGACATCTCAGCAAGCCATCAATCAACATCACGCGGCCCCAACTGGCGGTCGGCATGGGGATCCTCTGCCACCGGAAGGTGCGTACATGCCGGGCCTGCATCCTGCACGCCAAACAGGCAATTTGACGCCGGACCGGTGGTCGGATCATGGGCCAGAGCCGGTGCTATCCACTTGCCCGGCCCCCCTGGACTCACAGCTCCGACCCCATGAGGGCAGGCAGCCTCAAGATCTTCTACGCGGCCTCCCCAATCCCTTGTTGAGCCACAACAGTCACCGGTTGGCGGTGCAAGGAGTGGCACTGTACCGTACGGCCATATACGCGGCGGTACGGACCGTACCGTACCCGTACCGACCTTCATTGGGCCAGGGTACGGTACGGTGACGGTCCGGAGGCCGCCGTATTTCGGCCGTAAATGTACGGCCGTACCCGTGTATGGTACGGTGCCGATCCCTAGTATGTGTGTGTCTGTATGTACCAGGAACCTTCAAACACACATGGCAGGCCATATCAACTCTTCAACATGTTCACCTCTCATCAATTACCTAACAATGGACCTATGACAGGGTGGGCTATCCAAGCTCATGGGCCTGAAAGTATATAGATATCAGTATGAGAGGTTGTGAACTATAGAAATTGTAGTGTATACACCATATTTTCGGTGTCTTTAATTGCACCTATATAAGGCCCAAATCTTTCATATACAAAAAGTTTTTTTACCCTGTGAGACACCCCCCCCTCCCCCTACCCCATGTGCCTGATAAGGATCTTTAACCCCCCCCCCCTTGAGTGTGTCACGGGCCTACAGCCAGATGCTAAAAATTTAATTTTGGTGCCAAAGTCACACTATTTTGGGGTGCCAAAGTGAATAAATTACTACAGTACTATAAGACCTGTGAGGCAAATTATTTTCTGGATGATCAATAGACCTATTGGAGATGTCCAAGATAGGCCTGACCACCTTAGCACCATCTTCCTTTTTGAACTGACTGTGTAATCCATGTCACTCTAGTACACTTGCACAAGCTGCTCTAGTGTGAATACAACTTCCTTTGGTGCTCTTGCTTAGACATAAGTATTGAACTACAGTCGAAGCTCTTGTAACCCATGACCCTATTCTCCCATAATCTCTCATAATCCATGCATTTTTGCCCCCACCACGCTGGTTTTCGGGAATAAGCCATGAATCACTAAAAACCCCATAATCCATACCATTTTCGGCCAACTTAACCCATGATTTTAGCCCAAAAGGCAATTTGATGATGGACAAAATCATATAAATTCAGTCTGTTTACAGTACAAATAAATAA